GGGTGCCCCCCACCACCACGCCCGAGTGATTCTCCTGCCTCAGCCTCCTGAGTAGCTGGGATTACGGGTGCCCCCCACCACCACGCCCGCCTAATTTTTGTATTCTTAGCAGAGGTTTCACCATGTTGGTCCGGCTGGTCTCAAACTCCTGATCTCTTGATCCTCCAAAGTGCTGGGATTATAGGCATGAGCCACTGCGCCTGGCCTTTTTTTTTTTTTTTTTTTATTTTGAGACGGAATCGGCTCTGTTGAGCAGGCTGGAGTGCAGATGGCGAGATCTCGGCTCACTGTAATCTCCGCCTCCTGGGTTCAAGTGATTCTCCTTCCTCAGCCTCCTGAGTAGCTGGCATTACAGGTGCATGCCACCACGCTCAGCTCAAACTCCTGAACTCAAGTGATCTACCCACCTCGGCTTCCCAGATTACAGGTGTGAGCCACCATGCTGGCATCTTGAGGGGTTTTGTTTGAGTGTTTTATTGTGGCAGAGGTAAGTTTGACTCTGATAGCAAGGAATCCATAGACAGAAAAAGATGGAGTTTGGCGGTGGGCACTGACAATGAATGGCCTGAGATCAGGAGTGGGGAGGGGCAGAGCCTGTGGTAATGGAGGGAGGGGTGGTGTGAGGGATGTAAGATGGGGGCTTGTGCCCCGACCCGATAGCTTCTGTTTGCTCTGTGAGGAGCAGCCAGTCATCTCAGGGACACTGGAAGTAGGATGAGAGGTTCAAGGAGAGTGCAGACTGGAAGACAGCTGACCAGAAATCGGAAGGCTGGGCAGTAGCAAGGGGCGACCATCCATCTGAGGTGGGTGCCATGGCATCACCGTTGGTCACTCTGCTCTATGGGGGGTTGTCAATCCATCTGAGGCAGGGGTCATGGTGTCACCAAGGATCACTGTCTTATGGCGGGCATCCATCCACTGGAGGCTGAGGTGATGGTGTCACCGAGGGTCACTCTATCCTATGGGGTGGTGCCATCCATCTGAGGCTGGGGCCAGGGTGTCATCCAGGGTCACTCCGTCCTATGGGGGGTGTCTATCCATCTGCAGTGGGGACTATGGTGTCCCTTGGGCCACTATGCTCTATGTGGGGTGATGTCCATCTCTCCAAGGCTGGGGCCATAGTGTCACCGAGGGTCAGTCCATCCCTCTGAGCTACTGTGGATGGTTGTTCCCAACGGCCTGGTGGAAGGGCATGAGAGTGGAGAGTGAGATGCAGGGTCGCTGTAGTCTCTCAGAGGAGAGCCAACTCTGTGGTCACGGACTAGCCCTGATTTGCCCAGGGACACTGCCAGCCTGCGCCAAGCTCCATGGTGTGGGATGTGCTGCTGAGGACCTTTTTGGGTACAAGTGACAGAAACCAACTTGAGCTAGCTGGGGCAAAAAGGAGAATTTCTGGCGGGGCACAGTTTCTCACATTTGTAATCCCAGCACTTCTGGAAGCAGATGCAGCAGAATCATTTGAGGCCAGGAGTTTAAGATATGCCTGGGCAGCATATGAAGACCCTGTCTCTACAAAAAATTTAGTTTTAAAAAAGATGATTTCTCAGCCTGTGAAAACCAACAGTGGGAGAGGAGAGGTATAGTGTAGCCTGTGCCTGGGGACAGGGAGGGGACGCTGGTGGGGTTTCTGTTTGGTTGCATTCGTCATTCTCTTGGGCTGGCTCCTTTCTGCCCATGGATGGAGCATGGATGCCAGTCATTCAGCCAGTTCTTGCAGCAGCCAAACTCTTTTTTTTTTGAGACAGAGTCT